ATAAAAACTCTATGCCACTCATACTTGGTCATCTCAAGAGTGATTGTCCTTCTACCTGTGCTGAAACAATACTTTGGAAGGACTGTAACTTGTTTCCTGGCTCCCCCACCCCCATGGCTCAGGTGCAGTTGGGATCACACATTATTATTACTATTTTTTTTACATGTGTGCACCTGGGACTGTCCAGTATGTGTAGACTTAGCTGGTCAATTTTCTTGTATGTTTCAACTGTCAAAGGGCTCTAAGAAGTGGACTAGGTAACTAACAGAAAACTTGGCAAGTCCAGGCTACATTTAAGCTAATTTGCACAGAGTTTCAAAGCACCAGGGGAAAATGAAGGTTACCTGATAGCACATTTCAGAAGCACCAGAGGGGGGCACAAACAAGTAAGTGCTCTAAAAATGAGCAGATGATGAGTCCCCTTGGCAATGTGATCTTACTACTTTTGAGTGTTAGGCTGACATGGAGAGCTGCAGCCAGCCGGTGTTGACCATGCTTAGTTCAATGGACTAGTCTAGGGCAACTTCTGATATTCCTAAATGTGAAGGGAAGATGGACATCTCCAGAGGTTTGAGAGTAAGCAGCAGATATGAACTACCATAGAAAAACATTAGAAGGGAAATGCTGGACCAGGGCGAAGGGCTGTCTAGAAAGCCCTCAAGAAGGACATGAAGACAACAGCCCTCTCCTGCTGTTAGGAAGCTGCTTATATCAAGTCAGACTAGGATCCAGTTCCCATATAACATATAATGTGAGTTGTTGATGCCATACACCATTTCTGCTTTGTATCCAGGAAAGGGTTTATTTGCTGTGATTTCTGAACCCAGCAATATGGATCTTGAAGAGCATTTGAACCTATGATTTCTTTTGCGGTTAAAACTTTAGGTCATTTCTCCTTCACCAGCCCAGAGTGCCTGGTTGTGGATGTCACAATGCATTCCTGGGTAGTTTAGCAGACTGAAAGTAATGAGCAGACAGAGGCTGCACACCCATGTGGTCCTGATGATCCATGGATAGTGGTTATGTGCACCCAAAGTCTATTTGTCCATCTAGCTCACATCAACTACTCTGCCTGGCAGGAACTGTCTAGGGCAGGGGTCCTCAAACTTTTTCTAAAGGGAGCCAGTCGACAGGAGCCAGCGGTGGGCACAGGCTGTCAAGGCGGTGCCGGCAGGGGGGTGTGGGCAGGTGAGGGGGCGAGGTGCCAACTTGCTCACGAGGGGATCGCTTTCGCCAAGTGAATTCAAAACAACCTCCTCGCGAGCAAGCCGTGTGCGCCTGGCGAGTGCAAAACCTGTGGGGCAGGCCAGTTAAATGGGCATGGCAGGCCACATCCAGCCCACGGGCCTTAGTCTGAGGACCCATGGTCAAGGGTTTTCAGCAGAGGACTTTGCTATTGCTGCTACCTGATCCTTATAACTGGAGATGCCAGGGGTTAATCATGAGACCTTACACATGCAAAGCATGTGCCCTGTAACTGAGCTAATGTCCTTTCCCAGCAGCTGGCATACTGCTACCTACTCTACTTTTAGTTATGAAAATTCTCTTCAAGGTTTGCAGTGTAATGAACAGTACTGAACACATAGCAGACATAACTGTCACATCATCTCTAGTGTCATGGGTGTTGGCTAGTGCCAGTTGCATCACTTGTGCCAAGGGACATACACAAACACACTCAGTCTGCATTTGAAATAAAGGTTTGAAAATAAATTAGTCTGTATGTTCTCTTTTTTCTCAAAGTGTGACCTTCACACGAGAAAATGAGTATTTATATGCAGTGTCCAACAAAATATTTTGACTTCCACTTTCTTTAACTGCTCTGATGTTAATCAAAGGGTAGTGTAGCCAAAGTGGTTACATTACTGCATTACTTCAATAATTCTGTTATGTTAATAACTGCAATAAAAATGTGTTATTGATTATTAATTATAGGATTCTAGAATCCAAAGCAAACTTGTCTGAAGTGCTGTTTGATGCTTTAAGAGTTCCAGCAGTTAACAAAATGAATGGGGGGAAAGTAGCTTCCCCCCCACTTTTTTTTAATGTGTATATTTAGCACTCTTAAATGAAATCTGTACCACTGAGTTGTTAGACATTTGTATCTGTCATGCTCATTCTATGAGCCCAATGGGAAATGTGTTCATTGAGTAATACAGCCAGAACTATATCTAACCTAGGAGGTATATTAATTATTACTTGTCCCTGTCAGCTTGTGTTTTGATCCAGTAGACACTGGTAGAATGATGAAGTGATAGGAATAGCATCCTGATTATATCCAGGTGCCAGGAAAAAAAGGCAAGGACAAAGAAGCTGTACTAATAGCTTCAATAAAATACCCAATAAAGAACATTGAAAAAATATGGAACATAAAATGCTGGTTCTTAAATATGTTCCCATATAATGGCAGGGAAAGATAACCTGCGTAGAGTCTCATTTATGTCCAAAATTAGTACACTCCCCAGCAACATGTTTCATATGAAAACTTCTGTATTTTATTTTACTTTTATATGTAAACTGCTAACCTTTTGATCAAAATTCTTGTCTTGTTCCACAAAGTCTGTACATTAAAATCTGAGTTTTATCATATTTTGCAGTATATGCACAAAAGAGTTTTCAATTTTAAGTGAATATTTTAAATTGTGCATTCTTCAGGAATACTGATTGTTTCAGATAGCGGTACTTCTAGAATATTTTTCACTCTCTCCAAATGCAGCCTTAGAAACTATTACAGTGCAGCTGTTTTAAAGCTGAACCTGTGTAGTAGCTAAAAGGAAATGGGGAAAGCAACATAAGTTGTTAGAAAACACTAAAGTGTTTCTTTAGTGAAACTTTATAAACACTCTGTATTTTTTAAAGAAATCATTTTATCTCATTTGCAAGGGACATGACAGCAGTTTAGTTGACTGCATAATGTGACTCTAGAAAACAAGTGGAATGTTTAGGAGACAGTTGCTTTGGGATCCGCTAAAGATAACAGCTTCCCTGAAGGCTCCTGCCTGCTGGGCTCCATTGATGTGGGTGCACAAGAGCTGCTGCACCTACATAGGGCAACAAATGTGGGTTTGCCATCTTGCCACACTCAACAGGGAGCTGCAGCCAGTCCTAGTGCTAAATGTTCCTGGATGCTTTATTTATTTGGAATTTTTGTATGCCGTCCCATCCGCATGAGCCTCGGGACGGCTTCCAACACAACAAATAACAGGCATATAAACAGTACATATTAAAATCTGGATTCACCCTGGCAGTAAAAATCAAACCAATAAATAAAATTAACAGTTATTAAAATATTGTTTAAATAAAAAGGTCTTGGCTTGGCACCAAAAAACAAACAACAACATTGGCAGGCAGACCTCTCTGGGGAGCGCATTCCATAAGTGGGGCGCTACCACAGAGAAAGCCCTCCTCCGGGTACTCACAAGTATATGCATCACATTACATTTTTGGTGTACACTAAACAAAAAATAGTGCATGAGGGATGGGCTGCTCTCCATGTGAGTGCCTGTGCAAGTTTAGGAAAGCAAGATGGCCAGTAGTTTTTGCTGTGTATGAAGATGCAACACGTGTCAGTGGCCAACTTGCTGCCAGTCTGCAGTCCATATGGTGGCATATGTTGGAGCAATGTATACACAACAGTATCATGTTGGGGGGTTTTTCCCAGCTGCAGGAAAACTGTGTGCAGCTGCCTTATGAGTTACATACATGCTCAGAACTATGAACTTGGCTTAAGAGAACCATTTTTTTCACCAGGCATTTAAAAAAAAATCTTCAGAACCTCAGACCTGGGGTTCGAGATTTTTCCTCCATTTTAAAGGCTGAATACTTCTCTGAAGGCTTGGGAACTGGAAGTAAGAGCTTTAAGCTACAATATGGTTTATGTGCACCTTTTGGTCACACACACTACTGAAATGTGGTCTGCAAGTGTTACTCCAAAATAAAAGTCAACCCTTTGGCTGAAAGATTCAGCAGCTATGCTTTAGAATCGCCATGCGACAAGCTCCCCAACGAACTGGGTATGTGTGAGGGGTTTGAATCCTTGGGCTTTCCTCAGTGTGCAAATAATTGGCTATAAAATGCATGATGTTCTCATGCATGGTTATATGGTAGTGATACATTCACAGTGGAGTGAAAAACATGTCATCTCAATCCTTCCTCAAATATGTTGTTCAGATTTGATGATACAAGCTACCCTGCATACAGAGTATGTGTATCTTCTAGGACTGTCTGAGGCCCATAATATTGTATCACAAAGTATTGCTTTGCATTTTAGTGCTAAAATGCCTTATTTTTAGAGTTAACATTTGACTGTGTGTGTATATCTCCTATTCTAACGTTGCTTCAAGTGCCAGATGATTGAGCTGGGCACAATTCCCTCCCCCCCCAAAAAAAACCCCCACACTTACAGTCTATATATTGAGTCTAATGTGAGCCACTCCTAAGGCTTAGGGGCCAAAGCCCTAAGAATAGATAGAATGCAGGGTTCCAAATTCCCTTTTTGGTTTAATTAGAGTGACATCAGTGCTGTAACGCAAAAATATTCCCAAGTGTTCAAATGAATAACACAGTATTGCTTTGGAAACCATCTGGCATTGTAACTCTACTTTCCTCGTGCATGGTTGGATGCAGTACCAGAAGTGCTGGGCCCACTATTGACTATTCATGTAAGGGAAATGCAGGGTTGGAGTGAAGGAGTCAAGCATTGCCACCGGGGGAAGTCAGCCCCATGATAGTGCAGCAGAACACAGAGGAGTTGAGCGGTCAAAACCATCCCTACAGCCAAGGTGACAGAGTGGCAGCTTCAAGTAGGCTGTAGAGAAGAGTGGACGGGATATAGCCCCCTTCCCACATTAGGTTAGGGACTTGTTCCCCATTGCTGCAACAGCAGGCAGTCCTGTGGGATTCACATTGAGCACGGGGAGTCTGCACAGCTTGTAAAATTACTGTTTAATAGAAGAAGAAAGCAGCTGCTGAGATGCCATATCTTTCTTTCTTCTATTCTGCAGGTATGGAGAGAGTTTCCTGACAGACTGGTTGGATATCCTGGTCGCCTGCATTTGTGGGACCATGAAACAAACAAATGGAAGTATGAGTCAGAGTGGACCAATGAAGTTTCAATGGTGCTTACAGGGGCAGCATTTTACCATAAGGTAAGATAAGATACCAAAAGCAAACCATGAGCATGTGACATAAATTTGAAATGGTGGTTTTGCATTTGCACATGGTTGAGGAGGGACTGTTGAATGCCCATTTTGGGTGGTAGTGGCTTTATAACATGGTACTGTAATCTCGTATGTGCTAAGAAAGTTAGTGATAATACAGAATGAAATTGCATTCTCAAGAATTTTGTCAAAAGCACCTTTTGGTAAAAGGCCTGAGAATAACTTCTGTACAGCATCTCAGGCTAAACTACATTTCTCAGAAAGAATTTTCCAGAAATATTTCTGGTGGAATGTGTGATAATGATGGGTTTCTTTATTTGTGCAATAGGTTCAGCAATCTCAGATTGTGATTTCTGAGAGGAAGAACCATTTATTTTACTTTAAGATGCTATTTCTGATAATACTGAAGACAATATAGAGAACAAACAATACAGAAGTGGTATGGGAGTAAATGCTGAACCTGATATATTGAATTAATCTCAAGCAGTAATCATTCTAAATAGAATGAGGATGGCATGAAGCAGCTTAGTTTCAAAGATGTGCACTACCAAAGGGCCATCTATGTTCATTCTCCTGCCTGTATACTAGATTAATCTTCATAGGCCCTTCTCTGGATGTCCCATCCTCTGAAAGCAGATAGATGGTGACTAGAGAGGGCCTTTTAGGTGGTGGCAGTTTGGAACGTTCTTTTCAACAACATTTGTCTGTTTGAACACAAGGCAAATTTATTTTTAAAGCCTTTTAAAAATCTGTTGCATTTGCTTTTATTTTGCGTTTTAAATTGTCTGCTATTTTTCCATCTTTCGCTGTTGCTGCCTCTGCTTATGCTTAAACCTTCCCATTCTATTACTGATGACTCAATGCTGCTAACTCAACATAGGTTAAAAATTCATTACAAGTTTCAGCTAAAAAGAAGTATATCAAACAGGTGCTACATTAACACAGTGGGCCAGTAAGCATGACTGAACAGTCTATCATGGTGGGCTGTAGAATGGGCAGGCAAATATTTTGAATATTCAGCTCCCTGGCCACTGCTTGCCCTATATTGATGAAAAGGATGTGCTATGCAAGGGTTGCCCCATTTAACCCTTACACAACCCACAGTTCTTGGGTCTTAGCCAGTGCATACTGCAGCCCTAGCAGCTTAACTAACCCACAGTGATCTGTTTTGATCGTTTTAACTGGCTCTGTAAGATATGTAGTAAAATCACACAGCCATTTCTGAAATGACACAGCTATGTTGCTCTTGCATTGGACTTCTTGTTTTAAGTGACAATAACATCACCTACATGAACTCAGTAGGATTTACTTCTGAGTAGGGATGGAATAGCACTGGAAATTGTTGAAGGGAATTCAGATAGCAATAATTGATAGGATATGGTATACATTTTTTCAGAAGATCTTCTGTAAACTTTCATTAATTTCATTGCTGCTTGAACAGAAGTTCCCAGTGGAAACTGTGCATCACTAACTCAGATTCTACGTTTAAGTTGCCAGAGTGGGGCTCTTCTTGGTCTAGGAAATCTGGAAAAGATGCAAACATTGATGAAATCACATTTTCTCTTTATACACTTTTTTTTTTACATTCTGCAGTATTTTAACTACTTGTACACCTACAAAATGCCTGGAGATATTAAGAACTGGGTGGATGCTCACATGAATTGCGAAGACATTGCCATGAATTTTCTAGTGGCCAATGTTACAGGGAAAGCAGTCATTAAGGTAAGGGCTTTTTAAAAACTATATTCTCTCCCACCTGCCTCTCTCTCACTTTTACAGTACCATAAATATTTAGCTGCATATGTAGCTTTAATCAGTAAATTTCAGTGTCTTTTTTCTCTTTCACTTCTGGGATGTAAAGCACCTAAATATCTGATTTTCAAATGCTATTTTGGTTTTGCAGGATATGTGTTCTAATACTTATGTTCATTCTGACCAGATAGATGTGAGGGAGAGCAAACTAATACATTAAACCATTAAGTAGTATATTGCTGAATAAAATGAAAATGGGGGGGTCGTCTCACTCCATCTCTGTCTATCTGCACTGCAATAGCTGATTTATAGGAATGATAATTGCAAAAACGTTAATTGCAAGATCAGTTTTTAAATTCACTACATCCCTGAATTAATTTCCTGACATGTTTCAACACATTTTTTTGGCCTGGATGTTCACTTTGTCTGCTCATTTCAAGGTGTGTCAGCTTGGAATGAGATTTAGAGGCCTCCAGGCATTACTTCAATTAGCAAGGTCTGCTTTCCTGCCTGTCCATCATCATAAACTCAGACCGGTGGTTGTGTTTCCTAGAAAAGCCTTAGAAGATAAAGCATATGTGTTTGCTGGGAGAGTTTCTGAAGTGTACAAGGGCACTGCAGCGTAATTTGGCACCCCAGTGCAGTTGGGAGAGCCTTGCAGAGTTTGCCAGTCAGCTATTAAGTGAGCAAAGTGTGTCTGTTGGATTAAGGTTACAGTGAAGTATGGGAAGCTATATTTCATCGCTCTTATGGCTGCAAGAACAAATGGTGTTTATACAGGGACCTTGGCAGTGAGAAAACAGTCATTAAACAGGCATTAAGGAGCTTGTCATCACCACTACTTTCTACTTACAGAAGGCAAAACCCCTCCAAGCCTTCTTTTATTGGGCCACTGTGAGCTTTGCAGTCAGCTAGGCCAGATGGAACTAAATGGCCTATATTTCCTCCACCACCCGTCCTTAAAAGGTTTGGCTTACACTGCAGATATGTGCAGGGGCACTGCTGTGTTTCTTAGTGGGGGAATTGATGTCAGTACTATTGACACTGTTGCTATCATGCTGCCTTCATACAGGTGACCCCCAGAAAGAAATTCAAGTGTCCTGAATGCACAGCCATAGATGGATTATCGCTAGATCAGACACACATGGTGGAAAGGTGAGTTTCCCATCCTTGCCCGCTTCAACTGCTTAAATTTTAATTCCTTTAAAATGAGAATCAGATTACTAATCACTTGCATTTATAAAATATTACTGTACAAGTCTTATCTGCCAAGGCAGTTTTAGCATGAAGCAGGAGTTGTCCTTGACTTCTGCTGAAGTTGGCTGATTCCCAAGCTCATCAGGTCTATGATTGTAAGTACAGACATGTACATTTGATGCACATTATTAAAACATTCTTAATTATAAATTATTTTTGAAACCCAGTGTGGTGTAGAGGTTAAAGTGATGGATTGGGGACACAGTTTCTGGGTTCTTGTCCCCACTTGACCATGGAATTCACTGGGTGACATTTGGGGCAGGGAATCACTCTCAGCCTAACCTACTGCCCAGGGTTGTTGTGAGGATAAAATGGACCTATGTAAGTTGCCTGGGGTTCCTCATGAGAGGAAAAAGACATGATATAAATACAACAAAATAATAAATACTGACAGTCCTTTAAGGGTTGTGCCAATGCTGCATTTAATAATGATTTTCAAATAAATTAAGATGATGATCTTATTTGGAGTAAGTGAGAAACAGGGACAAAATGTCTGTATGTAGAGAGAATTGCTTTAGCCCCAGTGATCGAAACAGTTGTCTAGAGGTACAGACTGTATTAATATCAGAATATATTTTAGTATGAGAGCACTGTCTAGAAGCAAGATACTGCTTCATACCCTCCTGGATACCTCCTGTACATGCTTCAGGGATACCACCATTAAAAGTATATTTTGCTATTTTCCAAATTAAAAGTCAGTGGTGCATTGGCGAATAATAATAGAACATGAGAGTTGGATGGGGCCAGAAGCTCATCGGATCCGACTCCCTGCTCAGTGCAGGACTCCCAGTTAAACCATCCCTCTCAGATGTCTGTCCAGTTTCATCTTGATTGTTTCCAGTATGGGACAGACCACAACCTCCCTAGATAATTTGGTTCCATTATTGTACTGCTCTAACAGTCAGGAAATGTTTCTGTTGAAACAGTTTCTGCAAGTCTTAGCTACCAAGTCCATGCAATTACAAGACAGGAAGTTTAGGAAGAGTATCTTGAAATGCACACATGCTTACAAGGGAGAGCTGGAGTGTCATGATGCAGAAGGCTAGGATTATAGGTGATCAAAAACAAATTATATGCTAGGTGGAAATATGATATTTTAAAGCTATGAAATTTTGAGTGGAACAGGGCATCAGGTCAGAAGTTAAGTTCTGTTAGTAACTATTTAGAAATGCTTGTCATTACAGTTTTTGTGCTCCTTTCTTACTTGTAATATCATAGTGCATCCACTTTGTGCACTTTCCATCTCCAAATTTTACTGAGAAAGCAAAGATCACTTCTGAAATAGATACTGTCATAGGCTGTAGGAAGGATTGATTTATGAGGTGAGATTAAGGAAAGTATATATAGCCTGGATAAGAAATTACTAGATAGGTATAAGTCTTGAGGTATTTAAGAGTGTAAACACCAAGCATGGTGCTAAGTTATTTTGGGTGGCATAAGGGTATCTAATGTGAAATAAGGGGATTACATTCAGGAAAAGCCATCAGGAAGTGCTGCTTAACCATGACATCTTATGCTATAGAATACTTTCCAGAAGGAGGTAGTGGATTCCATGTAGCCTTTAAAAGTGAAAAAGAACTGTATCCTGTTTCTACAACAAGGGCTTTCAGACACTTTCATTGTGAGCCTGTCAGAGAAAAAACTGAGCCCTCTCCAAATGTAGCAGCATCGTCCACCTTCTAACTGGGAAAAAGGCAGGATATCAATCAATCAATAAATAAAATAACTAAGCTCTGACTTGTTTTAATTTTGAGAAATAGAACATGGCAGAAATACTTCCAGCCTGACAGTCATTGTTGTCCGACCCATCGCGACCCCATGGACAACATTCCTCCAGGCCTTCCTGTCCTCCACCATCCCCCGGAGTCCACGTAAGCTAACACCAACTGCTTCAGTGACTCCAGCTAGCCACCTCATCCTCTGCCGTCCCCTTCTTCTTTTGCCATCTATTGTTCCCAGCATTAGGCTCTTCTCCAGGGAGTCCTTCCTTCTCATTAGGTGGCCAAAGTATTTGAGTTTCATCTTCAGTATCTGGCTTTCAAAAGAGCAGTCAGGGTTGATCAACTCTAGGACTGACCAGTTTGATCACCTTGCAGTCCAAGGGACTTGCAGGAGTCTCCTCCAGCACCTCAATTCAAAGGCCTCAATTCTTCAGCTTTCAGCCTTTTTTATGGTCCAACTTTCACAGCCATACATTGCAACTGGGAAAACCATAGCCTTGACTATACGCACTTTTGTTGGCAGGGTGATGTCTCTGCTTTTTAGTGTGCTGTCTAGATTTTCCATAGCTTTCCTTCCCAGAAGCAAGCGTCTTTTAATTTCTTGGCTGCAGTCCCCATCTGCGGTGATCTTGGAGCCCAGGAAAATAAAATCTGTCACTGCCTTCATTTCTTCCCCATCTATTTTCCAGGAAGTGAGAGGACCGGATCCCATCATCTTAGTTTTCTTAATGTTGAGTTTCAAGCCAACTTTTGCACTTTCCTCTTTCACCCACATCAAGAGGCTCTTTAGTTCCTCTTCACTTTCTGCCATTAGAGTGGTATCATCTGACTGTCATAGATGAGAAGAATTTAGGGAGATCTGAGGCTGAGGATGAATTGCTGAAGAGTCTTCAAATATGTTTCAAATTTGTAGTAGTAATATTGCTTATCATAATATTTAGAATTGTAAATAATCCTCAGGTTAATACACCTGAGTATTATTTATCATTCTAAATATTAATTTGCAATAACATACATGTTAACAATGTTGTTATTAACCTCAGGGTGGATTGGATTTAAAGTAAGACTAGATTTAAGTCATGCTTTTCTAATAATTTGCATGTATACCTGCCTTATCTGTATGTAGAGAAATTTCATTAAAATATTCCCAAACTGGGTCTTTTTTACAGCCTGCTGCCATTGCAGACTTTCTATTTCAAGGAAAGGATAATATGGTAAACCACAGGCTATACATAAAAAGATTCAAAGACTTGTAGAGTATTCTGCTCAAAAGTTTCATTTTGATTTTTACTACTAGCCCCTCCCTCCTCACACTTAGCTTCTTGTGCAGATCTATTTCACTCCCAATATTCTTCTTCTATTCAATGATTTTTTTGAATTTTAACACTTAAGAGTGTAATGGGTTGATTCTCTGTACATAGATTTGCAAAGGAACGATGAGATTAAGGTCTTTTTTTCAACTCTGTATGCTTATCTTATAACATTTTTACATGTGATCTGTGCAGACACATATTCACAGTTTTAAGAACTGTAAAACTAAACATCTGTGCTAATATATTCTAGACAGAGAAATTGCCCAGTAATCTTACAGAAACCTCTGGAAGAGCATGCCATAGTGAATGGATTCATGGAATTCATTTACTAAAAGATGTAAACACTGCATGAATGTATAGCCTCATACTACATCACTAAAAACTAATCCTTATTGCAGGATGAATAACCTCTGGAGGATAATGTTTCTTAAATAGAAAACTAGTTTTTTCCTCAAAAAGCATTTTATTTTTAAAAAATCCAATTTAATTAAATTTTAAAAATCTTATTTAAATAAAATCATTGGACTTTTAAAAATCAGTTATTTTTATCTATGCTGATTAACATTTATATCCCGCTTTTCCTCCAAGTTCCCAAAATAGTGTTCATGATCCTTTTCTCCTGCTTTATTTTTGCAAAAGCTTGTAGGATAGGCTATACTGGAAGTTGATTAGTGGCCTAAAGTCACCTAGTGAATTTCATTGCTAAATGAGGACTAGATTCTAGGTTTCTCATGCCCTGGTCTAGTACTCTAAACTATGCCACTCTGGCTCTTAGTAATGTCACTTCCACAATACAACTGCATGAGAATATTGATGAGAATCCTTCGGTGCAGGGCAAAAGTGTGTGTGAATATAGCTTTGGTAGTACTAGTAATGTTTATCTCATCAGATTGTGCTGATTCCTCATCTTTGATCCAGATGTGCCATGCCTTCAGGGCAGGGAGAACATTTGGCTTCAATGTCCACTTGATTTACAGGATGCTATTTAATTATCATTTATATCAGTAGCTTTTATCATGCAGACACCTGCCCTTCCCTAGGATGAGATCAAGCTGAGGTTCATTTCACACAGGATATTAAAGAACTACTGTACTATGGATGTTATCATACTGTATGTTCATGTGTTGATTTTGCACATGTGGAATTGAATATTTGCTTGTTTCTGATACTAAGTTTCTTATAACAATGTTTGTTGAGAAAAATCTTGCAAATTTAAAGGCACTGATGACATCTAATGAGAGGAGAGTTGAAAAATTATACTGGCGTGCTGGAATGGTGTTTCCCAATGAGATACTTTGAGCTACAACTCTCATCAATCCTGACCTTTGATTATACTGGCTAGAATTGATGGGAGTTGTAGTGTAAAACAAGTGCCAGGATTGAAAAGGCTCTTCTAGACAATGGGACACTTATTTCTTGCACAACTCTCATAGACAAGCACCATGGCAACTTCTCCTTGCTCCCTCTGTTGACCACTTGACTCTAATTCCCATGCGCTTCTTTTCCCTGTGTCTTTCATTGCTTTATTCCATATTTAAGATAAAATCATATGAACTTACTGCTCAAGTGCTCAGAGGAAAGTATGATCCCCTTCAACCATATATAGGAAGTCAGAAGTTCATGGAGCCAGATAAAAGATGTATATAGGTATGTTGCTAAAGCAGAAATGGGCAACATACGGCTTCTACATGTTTTGGCCTATAACTCCCATCAGCCCTAGTTTGCCTAGCCAGTAGCGAGGTATGTTGATAGTTGTAGGCCAAAACATTGAAGTGGGGCAATATTGTCCACCCCAGTCTAAAAGTCTCAGTCATCTAATACCTGTTACTCATTAATAAGTATGTTAATTTTGTGGCCAATTAAAAAAGAACCATGTAGTCTCTCTCTAGTATGTTATTTGTGGGTTTTTTTGGATTTATGTTACATGTCCATTGCAATTGATTGTGCTCAGCATCTAACTAGACTTACCAAGGTACCTTCTAGACAGAGTTCTAACAGTTATATTCTTTCTGTTCTATTTCTAACACCATTGTGTCTGGGGGGAGGGGGGGAGAGTAAGAATCCAATATCCTTTTCAGAAAAGTGGATACTTTATTTCACTTAACTTGGACAATGAAAATAAACCAGTCAGTTTCAGGTTTTGGTTTTTGAGAAATGTTGTATTTTAAGCTTTCAAGTACAATCAGTCCTGTAGAAACCATAAAGGAAATGCTTGTTTATTTTATGGAGATGGGGGAGTCATTCTCCAGTGAATTTCTTAAAATAAAAAACCCAAGAAATATTTCTGTATGCCTTTGGTTTCCTTTATGCTTATTTTTACAAGCTCTGTACTAAGCCAAATTTGACCTGACAGTGGCTCTTTAAGAGATGTTGGCAGCTAATCCACCCTAGTTTACAGCATGTACATTGCTTTAAGAATGCCTGGAATTCTGGCAGAGCAGGAATAGGGAAGCATTGACCTCTCTGTGCACATGTGCAGCTGACAGCACCTCCTTTTTCTTGCTGTGATGAAATGCTTCAATCATGTCTTTGTCAAATCCAGCCTGGTGTTGAGGCTCCGCCTTTTGTTTCCTACTTCATGAAACCTTAAGCCATCGTAAAGGTGGTAGTCATTAATGATTAACCACTGGACTCTTTGTTATATTTCCTGCAGCTTACTAACATGGGCATGTAGGTAGAATTTGTCTCCAATTTGCTGGTAACTCATGCAGATAAAACATTTTGAGAGAGAAGCATGTTACTGTGAACTAGACAGTGGAAAATATGTATTAAGGTATACAGTAGAATCATTTCATTACTGAACAATGCAATTGTTTCTTTCCATAGGTCTGAGTGCATTAACAAGTTTGCTTCTGTCTTTGGTACAATGCCTCTGAAAGTGGTGGAGCACCGGGCAGATCCAGTCTTGTATAAAGATGACTTCCCTGAAAAACTGAAGAGTTTTCCTAACATTGGAAGCTTGTAAAGAATAACCACAAAGCAAATTGGATATTGAAATTCAGTAAAGAAACATCTGTTGGTGCTGAGAAAGGCTTCAGACCTTGGATAAATTTGCAAGGAGGTATTGCGAGTAGAAGAGGCAGAGACTAATGTTCCAGCTCTGTTATAATTCATGCGTCTTACACAGAGCACAAGACTCTTGATACAGGGCAAAGCAGTGCTGCAATCTTACTAGATGTGCCTACTGAAATGCCAGATAAATATTTATTTGATCCACAGAGATTACATGCAAAGAAAAGCACATGATAGTCTATGCCTCACACTCAACAGAATTTTCTTTCCACTTCTTAGTGCTGCTGGTTGTCACTTAACTCTCTTGTGAAACCCATTGCTGGGCCCTTTGTGAGCCATTTTCTGTGTTTTGGTTTTCTTTTGCACAAATTCCACCTGTCCCTTTTGTACAAGGCTAGCTTGCTTGCATCCACAAAGATTCATGATTAGCATTAAGTCTACTAGAAATAGGTTGGCCTTTTCGCTCAATGAGATTAAGAAAGAAAATAGCTTGACATTGGGTACAAGAAAACATGTCTTTGGAGTAATATAAAGGAGAGGCTAATTCATTCTTTTTTTCACACAGATGTACACATTTCACATTTTTCATCATACTCATGGACAAGAAAGTGTATGGTTGACCATATTCAGAATCCCACACTTTTTAAATATGTGCAGTGAATATTTCAATCCTGGGATTTTTTGATATCTCTGTGCCCTTTCTTTACCATGCAGGAATATTTTGCAGTACAGATATACGTGGTCATAAACTAGCACAATAAAAAAAACTTGTTGGTACTTTGGAGCTCTGTTTAGTAAGCAACCTATAGTGTTCAGATTCTGAATCGCACTTTACAATTGGATTGCATTTGTGAGCAATACATCAGTGCCTGATAGAAGTCAATGATTTCTACCCAGAGATGATCTGAGAGCTCCCAAAAGTTGGTGTGTATAATTTACTACCACAAGATAATTCAAATCAATTAAGTGATCAATTTATGCTCAGGTAAGCACAAAGCTTTGAAGAACATTTGGCAGGAAATCATGAGGAGATTAGTGTCTTTTGATTTCAGAATTCATTGTCTATGTCACATGATCAAAAACAGCACATTTAAAATAGCAAATGTGATGCATCAGTATGAGCTGGTCTGAGGGGTGCACATGCATTGCATGCTTTTGAATTACACAGAACTCTTCACCAGAAGTTAATTGGAATAAAACATGTGGATGTATTTATGCTGATTTTCTTTCTAATTTCAAAATGAGAAAGAATTGATATTTGTCACAAAGAGTTATTTCTTACCATGTAAATTGGTATGAATAAAAGTATTCCTCTGCCAAATGGCTGATGTGCATCTAGGAACTGTATAACATTTCAGCATTGTAATGCTTTAGCAAGAAATTATGCATGATCAGCACATCTAGCTAAACCCTCTCAAGGTTATTCAGTTTACAGTGTCTGCTTGTATAGTTTGCTCAACTTCACACTGCTAAGAATCTTCTTCAGCAGCTCATCAAAGAAACTGCATTGATAAAAGACAGATAAGGAAATTAATAAAATTACATACTTCTGGCCAGTGACAAAAAATACCTGATTCCCATCTCAAGATTTCTGGTAATCATGTATTGCTGATAGAATAGAAACTGCAAGGGAACATTCCAGATTATAACTTTCAGGGCATCATTTATAAATGTCTTACTCATTTGGTAATATTTTTAATTATTTTTCTAAACTTTCTTCAGATAGCACCATCTGCTATATTCTAGAGCAGAAAATGGTACTCTCTGGTACAGAACACTCAATCATTGCTTTGTGTTGACTTATGATGAACTTTTCATCAGCTGTTGGTTTGAATAAAACTTAAAACCCTAACCCTAACTAAGGCTCCCACCAAAAGCTGGGTTTATTCATTAGGCCTTATTTTAGGCAGAAAGTTGATTGACAAGCTGCAGAGGCAGGGGAAATACTGTCAGAGGGAGAGTACCATTATCCTGTCATGAAATATTACCTTTCTGTCAATGAAAACTTGACCTGAATTGTTTAACTTAATATAATTTATTGTGAGTTACACAGTAGCCAGTCAAGGACAGTTTTATGAACCTTTGCATTCTGTCACATAATCTCCATCAACTTCCTCCTCATCATCCTTTGTTTTCTGTGCCCAGCAGTGCTCAGCTGATTTTTTTTTTCTCTTCAAAGATTTTTCCTTCTTTGCTTTGTGTATTGTCAGCCAAAACAGCGTCTTCCATCCCATTGTTGTTTGTGCAGTTTAGTGCTAAGCCGGTAGTACTAAAAGCAACACTAGGCAAAGGGTACACTGTTGTGCCAGATGTTGTGCAATCTTGCTGTCATCCATCACTTCAGAATGTGCATCTCTACCTAACCCACCAACAGTCTGCCTGCCATTTGGATGATTATGGATCAGCACAATCATTGGAGCTGACCTATGCAGCACTGAAGTATCCATTATGCAGAACCAGTGTGCCTTGAACTGAATACTTTTTTCGGTGTGAACTACTCTTTGTTTCTAGGAGGGCAACTATGCCAGCATAACAATACACAGAATTTGATTTTCTTCTGAACTTGCTGTATACTTTTCTAAAGGCAACATGTGAATAACTAGATGTGTAGTTGCACCAGGAGTTGTTCATTTATAAATGGCACATGGAATCTTGCAACTTAGCATTATTTCGCACATGACATTTTTAAAGGTGTTCCTGTATGATAGTTTAAGTGTACCTCGAAACAGTTTAAATGTGAATGCAGAAAACATGCTCGCCGTCTTACCAGGGAGCTGTGATTGGCTGCAGAAGGTATTTGTCTTTACATGATGTGAAAACAGTGAGAAGTCTGAAATATCCCCCTCTTCCCACTTAGATTCCAGAAGGATTAAGTGGACAAACACCCTCTTTGTGGTTTTCACTAATATGAGGAAGCCTAAGTATATGTCCCATTTTAAAATGAAAGTCTTCAAACAGTAAAATGTGTCACATGAACTGTCCTAAAACATTTCACAGCTGCTTTTATAAGGTCAACATTTGTTTTTAACTGCCTGTTATCATTCTGTAATGTAAGTATTGTCTGGAGGCCACATTTCCCAAAGTATGTGTTGTAAATTCATTCTCTTTTTAAAAAATAAATGTAAAAATTGTAAAAACAATGTTCCTGAGACAAAATACTCTTGATTATTAGCATTACTATCTTATCAGTTCATTCTGTGTATCAAATGATATTTTTATAGGAAAACTGTTTTAAAATAGGTGCTGAAGTAAGCTAATTCTGTTTTAAGGGTAGATACATTTATTTGTGAAGCCTGTAGGAGATCTACTCTGAGGTTAAGCTTATGCTACTCTCTGTCCATGGAATCTTCTTTTTTAAAAAGTGCCAAGTGTTTTGTTCCCCTATCCATTTTGGGTGTGTTTCAGGAAATGTTGTCATTTAATTAGCTATGGATGCTGTATTGTTTTTTCTAATGAATGAATGAACAAATGGTATTCTTTTCAATTGTGGTATTCCATGGAAGGCTTGGGAGGTAGGGCATAGGACAGCTTGGATCATGTCTCAGCATGGAAGATTATGGAGCAGAGCTCTCCTTGCAGCTCAGGTTTTGCATAGCAGATGTTGCTGAATCTAGGAAATAAGGCAAAGCAATGCTAAAGTAAAGCACCCAGAGTGGAAATGCATGAAGTCAGGACTTCTGTCAGAAAGACGTGCTGTTTTGTTGTAGTGAAGTCCACTGTCAGTTGTTTTAGGGAAAGATGAAAGCTGTCCAGTGCTATTTCTCCAAAGTTATACCCCATTACCCTGCATGAATGCATAAGGATCTTTGCATGCTTCCTCACAGAAAAGATGGATAGTACAGGATTTCATGAGTAGGAATTAATTTAGCAGTGTCCAGTTTCAGAAAGTTTGAGGAAACTTCTACAGCAGATATAGCTGTAGTCAAAAGCCTGGTCTAAGACACAGTTTAACTATGTTTATTACACTCAACATGGAGTCTCTGCAATTAATGCTAACTAGGTGTTTAAAATATATGAAAGTGATGGTAGGGTGTGCTTGGACGTGTATATGGGGAGGCGGGGGGGGGGGAGAGAGAGAGAGAGAGAGAGAGAGAGAGAGAGAGAGAGAGAGAGAGAGAGAGAATTAATGACTCTCACTTTAAAAAGACAGCCATGCTGTTTGGTCATGTAAACAGAGAAGGAACAGCTGTCTGCCATCCTTTCCACAGCCTGACTGACTGACCAACCAAGCAACCTTCCTTCCTTCCTTCCCAACTCCTCCCCCTCTTCCTCATTATTTTCATTTAATTTCAGTACTGCCCCATTGCTGAAGCTGTCTGGGTGGTTTACAACAATCCATAAAACAATATAACAAAATTCAGAAAAGTCATAAATATTAGAAAGTTTTAAACAGCTGAAAACAACAAGAAAGAATGGCTCTATAAAAACAATTGAAATAGTCAAGCCCCTACATGTCCAAATACATCTTAAAGGCGTCAGCATAAAAGGCTATCTGAACTGGTGCTGAAAGGATGACCAGTTTGGCACCAGGTGGGCTGCAGTGGGAAGACTGTTTTATAAATAGAGGGACCACTACGGAGAAAGCCCTCCCCATTGTTGCCATGCTCTGAGCACTCAGAGGAAGGCCCCAGAGGTTGTCCCAGTGGATCACAGTTGGGAGAGGCACTCCAACAGGTATTGCAGCCTCTAGCTGTGTAAGGCTTTATAGGTTAAAACCAACTCTTTGAATTGGGGCCAGAAGCATGCAGTCGACACAAGCAGGTCAGAACTGGCCTTATATGTTCAGAACTGTGGCTTCCACGTATCAATCCGGCTGCCTCATTCTACACAAGTGTAGTTTCTGAATTAATTTCAAAGGCAGCCCTGTGTAAAGTGCATTGCAGTAATCTGATTAAAACATCAGAATGTAGATTACCAAAACCATGCTGTCTCTGTCCAGATAGGGATGTAGCTGGGCAACCAGCAGAAGCTGGTACAAGGCACTCCAAAGCCACTGAGTCCACCTGTGCCTCAAGTGACAAAAGGTGGATTGTGGAGAACCCACAAGTAATTAATCTGCTTCAGGGGGAGTTTCAACTTCTAAAATATGTTGAACACCATCCAGTTCAAAAATTCACCCACCAGCAGCATCTCAGTCTTATCTGAATTGAACTTCATCCAATCCATTGTTGTGGCCAGACACCAGTTTAACACATCCACAGCCTCACTGGCTGACAATGAAAAGGAGGAGAACTGTGTGTCATCAGCAAAACTCTGGATGACCCAGCTCAGTGGTTTCATGTAAGTGTTCAAAGCATGGCAGACAGAACAGGCCCCTGAGGAACTTCATGCTGGAAAATTCAAGGGATTGAACAATATTCCCCAAGCAGCACATTCTGGAGATGCCCCCCTTAAGCAGGAGCAGAACCACTGCAACGCAGTGCCCCCCACTTCCAGCTCAGTTGCCCCAGAAGGATACCATGGTCGATGGTATTGAAAGCTGCTGAGAGGTCCAGGAATATCAAGTTAGATTTCCCCATCTCTCTTCTGGCACAGGTCATCATACAAGATGACCAAGGCTGATTTTAGCAGTGAAGACAGATGGAGGAAGGAAACTTGATTTCCTATCCTGAGATTCTCCCTCAAAGTAGTCTCTCATGGACTAAGAAGGAAGGTGAAAGGGAGTATGTATTCCTGATGGCAGCCTAAAAAATCCCTGGAGATTTCTCACTAATTTTTCCTTGTCTATTCTTTGGAATCTAGACTTGGAGCAGATTTCTGAGGGCTGGCAAAGCACCAGCACAGACTCAGAGGTAAAGGAGAAAATCTGTGTTGGCAAGCTATTTTCTAAGAGTAATGATGCTTTCATTTGCTATGGCTTTGTCTATGGTTTTTGTGATACAAAGTGTGACACAAAAGGGGCATGCAGCAGTTTTACAAAGCCTATAAACTCTTCCTGGAATCTTAGTCTCCACACACAAAACATTGTGTGATTGTAGCATGTTTGTCACATATATCTTTAAAGCTCAAATGTATGTTTCTATGAATGTATGGAATTTGAGCAATAACAACAGAACTGATCTAACTGGCTGGTTCCTGGTTCCATGGCCTGATCAACCTGCTGTCCAGGTACTTGCTTTGCTCCTCCCTGCTGGAAATAACATTCAGCTGCACCTGACAGCTGCCTTTGGACTAGAGAGCTGATGGAGAGCACTCGGACCGTGCCCTCCCCAGGAGACCCCAGGCTATTAGGAATGCGTACAGTACGTCTTGCTTCCCAGGTAGAACTTCATGGCAAGGAAGACCTGCCTGGAGCCATCCACAGCTAGGGAAGGAGCAGCTGTGCCAGGGCTTGCTTTCCTCTTTCCCCTCCGTTTTTTCCTTTTGTATAATGCATATTAAGACTGTGAGCTTGCAGGCAGGGAATGCCTGATCTTTCTGCAAATGCAAAGCATTTAGAAAATTGTAGTCATAAGGCTCCTCCATATCTTTCTGATTGTTGTTCTCTTAAGCCAGACATGGAATTGGACTTAAAAAGAAGTCTGTGTTTGTTCCTTCAAGTAGAGAATGTCCTCTACAAAATGAAACACTTGAACATCCTAACTTCACAGCTTAGGATCCCGAATACTAGAAGGCCCACCTGTTTCCATGTGTACCTGTTTTTATACCCATAAATGAAGATCTTTATCAGAGTCTCCTGCTTCTGTGCCTATCATTCAAGGTGAGGCAAATCACTACAAGACAGAGCAGTCTTGGTAGTAGTATTTCTATTATGGAACGTTCTCCCCAGAAAGTTATGCCTATTACCTACTTTTATTGTCTTTTGGGGCTGGGCCAAGTTCTTTTTATTTTTTCAAGTTTTAAGATAAAACAACATTATTAAAATACATGCTGCTTTTATGGTTTTGGGACTTTATGTAGCAGTTAAATTATTGTTTGTGTAACTCACCCTGGTTATATGACTGAAGGTTGGTATAAATTACTACATCTGACTAATACTGCAAGGCTATGGCAATGATGAAATAATACTAATATAATATTTAGGCAGTACTTTTCCTAGGAGTGCTGTGGCAGCATTTCCAAACATTCCCAGAGAGAGAGACTTGTGAAAGCCACATGGCTACCACATTAGTTGAGCTGAGATCCGAGCATGGAACTTACAGCTCATATGCTCCTAAGTACCATACGATATTCACAGCAAATGTGCCAAGTCCCATATTTACCTACCTGGACATTCAGCTTCTTGTCTCTGGCCCTCCTCCAGGCCCCTCTGCAAAATGAGGCAAGAAGGCCTTTTCAAAGGTTATACCCTGTCTGTGAAATGCTCTGAGGAAACTGAAGGAAAACCCTCCAGAAGACCAGGTTTTCTCCTGAGAGAGACTTACCTGATGCCTACATTAGAACCTTTTTCAGTGAAGGTTTTTCATTTTCCCAGACATTGTAAGAACTCCTTTCAGTACTATATTCTGTTGCTGATTTTCATCTGTTTTTATGATGATGTGATTTTATATTTTGCTGCTGCTATTATCTTCATTTTATGTTGTGTTTTTTGTTGTTAGTACTGTATGTATCTAGATCATGGTGGAAAAGTTTGAGGACCCCTGATCTAGATGCTGGGAGTTGTCCTCCAGACATGCTGGAGATCATCAGCTTGGAGAATACTGAAGTGCCCTCAGGCAGCTGTCCTTACTTGAATATATTAGAAGGGTCTGATCTTCAACATGATGTACCTGAACTGCATGTCATTTAATAACTTTTGAAATCAACAATGTCTAGCATTTAGCAGTTTCTGAACTTGGTGGGACATAAGCAGTTTTAATTTAAATGTGTTAGTTTAACTGAACCAGGCTCAAGCATCCAATTTTGTCAAGAATTTGCAGAAAGAAAGCGCAGCTGAGTGCGCAAAATGGGGGCAGGAAAAATGTACACACAAGCTTTAATACACCCTCCTTCAAACAAAAGTTTCTATGTATCTTTTGCCTCCTTTCATTAATTAAAAGGCAATCTAGCTGCCTGTGAAGATAGATGAGTGGATTTGGGTTGGAGCTAGTGAAATCCTATTCATTTGGTGGGTTTTCTAAGGAAACAACAAAAAGTAAAACATCAAAATAACAGCTAGAACATATTCAGACACACGGGGAATGGAAGTGAGATTGGAGTA